CGCCGCACTGCCAACTTGCTTCTACTTATTCTCCATTCATTCTGTGCAGAATAATATTCTCTTTCTGCTACCTTATAACCCCCTCCCCTTGTTCTATTTTGGATTTGATTTGAAGGCTGTAGTGGCGTGGTTTCTGCCCATAACTGCTCGGTAAGGATTCCCTATGAGCAACACCACAGTAAGAAAAAAAACCAGGTTTGTGTAATACGGGACCGGTGATAATAGGAGTTATATTGATGTGACATATCAGGGGGAAGGAAAATGAATAATAATTAAACTTAATTAAAACCGTATTCTCTATTCTCTATTGCCAGGCCCCAACTACTGTCCGAGCTGGCCAGATAACCACCTACGAAACTATGCGTGATCAAGCTATGCTGCCGACATGCTGTTTTAGTCTGGTAGGTGGTTACCCTTTCGTGACCGCTATCACCTATTCGGAGCTTTTTATCTGGGATGCTGATAGACTGATATGCGCTCATACGCGTATAAGTAAACAGTGTCCCCCTACCCTCCTGAGTACCGTCTTAACCTGTCAATCAGCTGGTGAGTAAGTCTGGCGCAGTGGTTAACAAGACCATACAGCATGCCTACGTGAACCTAACATCACCTGATCAATTGATCTACCAGGATACATTAAATAACATATTCCTCACTTACGTGGGATGTGCCTGTTCCGACGGATGACGTTACGTCTGTCATTACGATCAACGAAACAAGGTTTGATTGCGACGGGTTGTGGAGCGTGGTGTGGAGAGACTTCACATGTGATCTAGCGATGTGCGTAAGCGTGTGTTGAGGAATCTCCATCTTCGCAATCTTTTGCGTCCATCCATATAAGCAGTCGCATCGAAACTAATACCACCTCTTTCCACATTTACTTCGGATCCTGCTTTATTATCACAATTGATTGATTTCTATAATAAATTATCACACTACTTGCCGTATCTTCTTCAGCTCAACAGAACCTCCTCTGATGACCCGATCCTGAAGTTGATTGACCGTCTCTTAACCATTGTTGGTCGTCTGGGTTATTATTCAGTAGAGGCCAGCAATGTCACCGCAATGCTCTCCATTTTACGTCATGACTGTGTCGCATCCAAATCGCGTCTCATTCTGGAGGTAAATATGTCTTCTGTGTTCCGTTCTCCTTTTCTTGCCGAACAGGTACAGACTTCCTCAGGAATGCATATTACTTTACTGTGCTGCTCTTAAGAAGTAGCTACCTTTCTTAATGCGGACACCTTTTTGACACCTTATGAAGACTGTAGGGGTCGGCATTGTATTTACGCAGGCGTCGGGGTAGGTAGAACGGTCTGAATGCCTTAGAGGTCGCAGATAAACTACATTTTTTATTTAATAAGGATTCCTTATAGAAAACCCTGCAGATTTTTGTAATAGGAGACCGGCGGTAATAGGGGTTGTATGGGCGGAGCATAGCAAGGAGAAGGAAAAAGATAATAAACTAATAAATGTAATAAAACTAAATAATAAACTAAACCTAATTAAAAATGTACTAAAACTAATACAATTAAATGATAAAATGAAAGTAAAACCAAACTAAATGATAAACTCCAACGAAATAAGTAGCTAGTTATGTGTAATAAAATATGGTATTGTTAATAAGGAATCTTGATCGGTTATTCTAACAGGTACCACCACAAAGTTCTATCGTGCTGGTGCAGACGGAGTTACTCTGGGCTAACAAC